AGTGAAATTCTTTACACGTTGTTAACAAATCATGCTTGCATGTATCGTCCAATGTGGTGGCTAGACGTCGATCCGACTGACAGAGCGACAGGAAAGAGTAAGCGAAAAGCGATATGACCGTTTCGAATGTTGTGATTAATCATTCAAAATTCCTCCTAGTCGAGCGAATCTTATCCGATCATTTCACATCTGGAATGGGATCGGATCGATGAATCGGTCATCTTTATTCAAGCGCGATCATCGGAGGTGCGGTCAGAATAGCGTCATTTCAACTAACGGTGCAATAGAATGAAGGTTCGATGCGCATCGCCTCGATCACCTACTTAATCTCAATCCAGTTGAACTGTAGCGAGACCAGCTCGGGAGAGATGGAAATACAAGTCACTAGGGCAGCTGAAGACGGCTTTGGAGAGATGAGACCGCATGCCACACGATTCTTTTAGACAATCGACAGAAAGCAAAAATTGACAGATAAATGCTTTTATATTATGAAAGTGCGAGGGAGCGCGCTTTTCCGGTGAACAGTGTATTTACCAGGTGATACAAGAGAACATCGCAGTCAGTAGTTTTATCCAGCTAGAGAGGACGTTGGAAGGAACAATCAACTGGGGTAATGTCTCCTTTCTACGATCACTCAAAGCCTAACTATGTGGATATCGTAGATCACAGAATGGCAGAGCTCCCCTCCTCCCTCGGGAAACCTGAATAAACGATTTGCTGATAAAACAAAAGTACTGGCTGCTTGTCTTGCTGTTTCTTTGCAGAAGTAAGAAGACAAATTGAAAAGAAGGATAACATGCGCGAAAAGTTATCAATCACGAGAAAATTAATTAAGCTATGGTTGAAGGTTAAATATCTACGGGAAACCCCGTAATCGGTTATTGAAATAATAATCCCCTGAAAGAGATTATTTGTGAATTACTGCAAAGAAGTGCATTGCATGAATCGGAAAAACAGGGCAGCGTCACCGACCGGTCTCTCAGCCCTATCGTACTGATCAACGAGCTGTACGTCAAAGTTAAGCATCTAGCCGGACATCATCTTTACCAGTACATGCTGCACTTCTAATGGCAACAACCACAGGAGGCAGTTTGAGCATATCACAACCCTTTGCCAACTACACGTGGCACACTCACGAGAGTGACAGTAATGCCTGATCGAACGAAGCTGGAAAAAGTGCCAAGGTCAGTACAAAAAACAAACGGGGTCATAAACTGGAACAACTTAGAATCGGATTCAAGTCAAGGTCCTTCACAGGTATTAATCAATCCGATTTATCCTTCAAAATGCGACAAGACACGATGAATGCGTAGGATGAAAGTGAAGGAGATCAAGCCCGGGGTACGCGTAGAGGCGCATTGACAAGGATACACAAGCATAAGCATGCGCACACCTACCCATACACACGTATGATAGGTTCTGCAGTTCATATGACGTATGCCCACAACAGTGTGTGCTTATATCGATCTTTATTATAGTGTACGATGTAGCACAAAAGAAGATGAGTACACATTAAACCATTAGCCGACAAATAAAGTGTGGTGTCTTGTTGGTGCGTGCGTGTGTGCGCGCGTGCACTTGCTCATTTGACCAAATGACTA